TTTTTGTCCGATGAAGTACAAATCCCCAAAGCATCATAGATATTTGGTTCTCCTTTATTATTAACAAATTATGATTATAAATTTATAATTAATTTTATATAATATTATAATTATATCATTTTTGATACCCTAAACCTATACTCAATTGGCTTTTTTGTCCGATGAAGTACAAATCCCCAAAGCATCATAGATATTTGGTTCTCCTTTAATTTCTTTTGTGTTCCTTAATTTTACGAAACAAAGGAAATGCAATTTATGTAGACGCTTCGAAACATAATTGAGACCTCTGATGACTCCCTTGTCACTCAAAACGTTATGAAAGAGAACCCTGTGGTGAACACTCTGCTAAGTCAGCATCGATCATTAAGCAAAAGGGGTGATGGATATTTTTAGGAATCTTTTGAAGATTTACACACAATCTTTAATTAGTTTCTTTCATGTATTGGAGAACAAAATGATGAATACTTCACTCTCAAAGTTTTCAAATGCCAAGGAAAGTGATTGGACAATAATGAACTTCAAAAATTATGTAAAATGTTAGGTCAAATTGCCCCTACTCCTATGATTCTTAGAGTGGGCGCACATGTTTCCTAATTTATAAACTGGATAATTCTATTAGTAGTATTAGCACCTGCAATAACCAAACACTTGGATCTTTCTGAGGGGTTTTTTTTTTTATTTTTTTTTTAACATGCTAATTGATTAAAATTCTCATGAGAGGGGTAAAGAGGGAGTATAAAAATTTGAATTTTGACCATAGAGGAGAGAAAAGTATAATTTCTTCTAATATGAAAATAAATATGTACTTTTTGCTTTTAGTTTTAGTTTTTATGGTTTGAAAATGCACATTTAAAGGACTAAATTTTAAAAATGCGCTCTAGACCCACATGGTCTGGAAAATATGCACTTGATCCCAAGTATTTTTAATATGTCACTACATCTTGATCACCTTCAATATATATAGTAGATTTAGGGGGTTATTATATGCAGTTTCCAAAATATAGAGGGTCAAGTGCACATTATCAGATTGAAGCAATTAACTAGATGTTAATTTTCAAATCATGTAAGGATCAAGTATATCCCAAATCATATGCCTATTTCACTCTAATTTTGAAAAGATTTTATTTTTTATTTTTATTTACTAATCTCTTTTGTATTCAAAAGTCATATTAAACCTTAATTAATCTGAAGTTGAGTTAGGTTAGACGTCATAAAAAGAAAGTTTTTTCAGTACTTATCTCTTTATTCACATAATTCAAATTCAATATTTTATTTAAAGAAAACTGAACTCCTTTCACTAAAACTGAACTCCTTTCACTTAAACTAATAAATTATTAATTTGAAAAGATTTTATTGTAAAAGCTAAAGCTAAGCCAAATTTAGGCAGTAATTGAAAAGTGCTTTTAGAATTTTCATAAGTTTTTTTTTTTTTTTTTAGCTTGTTTTTATAAACAAACAAATATCATTCTAAAATTGAGAAAATTATAGAGAGATTTGCAGAGATTTGAGTAGGGGACACAGAGTTTCCTAGCACTGCCGTCCAAATCCTCTCACACCCCACATTAGGTTTTAAATGTTTAGTAAATGGTACTATAAATACAAAACTTTCGGTGTGATTTTAAAAGTTAAATTTTTGAATTTGAATATTTTTATTAAAATCAAAACTTTTCAACCAATTTTTGTTTTAACAGTTGTAAAAGGCTTAATTCAAATAACACTTTTAGAAAAAATTACAACTAAACCAAACAAGGTCAAAAACTCATACTATATACTCTTGTCTAAAAGTCTCACTATAATGTCCTTTAAAAAGTAACTTATAAGTGCAACTTAACTCTTTATATATGATATATATATATATATGTACAAATTTTATTACAATTTATGAAACTTATATATTATATCAATCAAACAAAATCTTAATACCACCATCATCTTTATGATTTAGTAGTAACATTACATATACTTTTAATCATAGATTTAAGGTTTAACCATTAATCTTTATGTAAAAAAAAAAAAAATGTCGACATCTAATGTATAAATTACAATATAAATTAAATCAAATTACAAAATTTTTGGAGTACCCTTGTGCTCATAATCAAAATTTGGAGTACCC